TTTCGCCTTTTTCCTTCCCCTTGGCCCCTCCATCCTCTTGAGGCCTCCTCTAGGGGAGTCAGGGTGCGCTCTGCTCACTCTGTCCGGGACCACATACTCTGTCCCCCTTCGCAGCAGGTCACCTCCAACCACTCCCTCAACAAGCCCCACTGGCTCCCACTGGGAACTCCTCGCTTGCAGTGGTTGAAACCACCTCTGGCTTCCGGCCCGTACCACCAGCAACCCCCATCCCACCCTTCAGCCTGCGCCCCGCCGCCTCTCGTTGAGCGCAGCGCAGCCCGCGGCGATCACGCGCACACCCGCAGCGCGCCATCCGGCTCCCCCGCAGAGCCGCCCTCCAGGGACCGGACGGGGCCAAGCGGCAGGGACGACGCTGCCAAGTTGGTTCCTTCACATTGCTGCGAAGGGAGCCCACAGGGCCCAGGCGGCTGCGCCCCTCACGCCCCCCCCCCTTCAGTGTTCTGCTGTCTTTAGGGACCGGGCAGAAGCCTGAGGCGCGAAACTCCCCACTCCCTAGCTGGGCTGGCAGTGCCCGCAGCTGGGGAGAGTTCGAGATGACAGCTCAGTTCTTTATTCGCTGCTCCCGGTGGTCCTGGTTCTTCATTCGTTTCTTGGCTGTCCATCCACTCACACCCCACCACGCCCTGCAGGAAGCCCTCCCCAGTTGTCTCCAACGCTTGATAATGGACCTCTCTTCTCTCTTCCTCCAAGCCCTGCCACACCTCCTCCGCACTGCCCTCTTCTCTGCCTCTTCTCCCCACCAATCTTCAAGCTAGCTTTTGGTGGAACCCGCTAGGGCGTGATCAAGATCTAAACACAGGCAGCCCTTCCAGCGAATCCCAAGTTTGAATCACAGTAGGTGCGAATCCATGTATTTAATGCACTACTTCAACAAGCTGTGCGAGGCTTCTATGTGGATGAGGCTTTGTGGGAAGGAGTAGACGGGCTCCCTGAGAGGGAGAGAGTTGCCCAAGTAGTGGGCAACTTTGTAATTAGAAATATAGGACAGAAAACATTGAGGTTGAGATAAGTGTATTCGTGACCTCGGCCTGTCTGAAAATATAAAACCACAGTCACTGGGCAAGAAGAGCAGAGGTGCAGGTTGCTGGCAAGCTCAGGCACCCAGCTCAGGAAGCAGTGGGGACCGGGCTGGGGGCCAGGGAGGCTTTCTCTTAATGAGCCCCTCCCCATAGAGGTGAGCTTGGGTATGGGTGGGGAGCCTGCTGCCAGGAGGGCCCAGAGTGAGAGTGGCTGGAAGCAGAAGGACAAGACAAGTGTGGTAGGACATCCCACCAAGCAGGAGGCCAGCCCTCCTTGACCCTGCCCCAAAGGCTCTATAACCATGCAAATCCAGAAAGGGTACTCCAGGGCTGCCTTGAGGATCTTAACTGTACCTGGGACAAATTAAACCATGTTATTTCTTATTCCTGGGGATCCAGGACCCCCGGCTGTATAATAAGGGAGGATACCCTTTGCTCCCTTCTATTCATCCCCGCCCTTCCACTCTGTGGGCTGTAGGAGACACGGGCTCTTGCTGCTTCCCATTGGGACGAATATTACTGTGGGACGCTGCCTTTTGCTAAGAGCCCCACCATTATAACATAATTACTGCTGAAAATGACCTTTAAAATATATTTTAAATTCAAAATGTCTTTAAACCCTTCACTGAGCACCATTTTTCATTTTCAACGACTGTTTTCCTTTTTGGGAGGGGAATGAAGGCTTAGGGAGTGGAAGAAGGAGGCCTCCTCTGTGTGGATTTCAAATGTTAGTCCCTCCCTGATAAAGAGAAACCCAAGTAGCCTCGGGCCCCTTGCCTTGCTTGGCCCCAGAGAGGGTGGGAGAAGATGACACAGCCAGTCGTCAAGGGGCAACAGGATGAGAACCCTGGCTCAGCTGCAGCCCTCTTCTGCCGGAGCACTGCCCTCCTCTCTCAGCTCTGCTTCTTTGTTCTTTCTTCCAAACGACTGTTGTCAAGGAGTGTTCGGGTCCCTGCCCGCTCAGCATCCCTAACAAAATAGCTGTCATTGAGTTGACTCCAACTTATGACAGCACTGCGCATGTCAGAGCAGAGTGAGCTCCACAGAGCTTACAATGGCTGATTCCCCAGATCACCAGGACTTTCTTCCAAGGTGCCTCTGGGTGGACTCAAATCACTAACCTTTTGGTTAGCAGCCAAGGGTGTAAACCATGTGCACCACCCAGAGACACCTCAGCACCTTCCAGGGACCCCCAATTCCTGCAGGATAGAGACTCCTTCTTCTCCCACACCTCCGTCTCATACCTGCTTTGTCCTGCCCTGGCTGTGCACCCTGTCCCTCAACCTGTGCTCATTTCTGCTTCTGCACATTTGGTGACAGTAGACATCTGGAAGGACAGGGGCCAGGGTGGAGGCTGGTGGAGGAAGGCCATTTGCAGTCAGCTGTGGCTGTCCCAGTGCCCTGCTCTCCGGAAGGCTCGCAAAGGCTGGTCTGGGAAAAGGGCCCTAACCTGCCAGACACCACATACTACTGATATTCCTTCTCTACTCTATAGCCCACTGAGAATCTTTGCTGTGTCCCACTCACACCTGGAAACCCCCTCCCTACCCCATGCTGTTGTTTCTCTCCCAATCCTCTGTGAAACCCAACCCGCTCCAGGAAGCCTGAATTCAGAGTGCTCTGTTAGCCAAGACTCAGCACCTTCAGATGTTGCCTGACATTGATTTGTCTCCACCTCCTCAGTGTTCTCAAGTCAGTCTTCCCTTTGTACATCCATCCCAGGAGATCTCAGAGGCTAGGAGCCTGGCCTTGCTGATATGTCAATGACCACACAGGAGGGTGCTGGGATAGAGTTGTTAGGTAACTCCATCATCCCACTGGGATCTCAGTGGTCACTGGGCATCACAGTCCTTCCCGTGTGTTCTTGGGACTTTTCCTAAAATAACCCAAATTCCCATAGCATCCAATATATGCTTGTTTGCTAAACAAAAGTCAAAATGCATTCCAAAGCCAAGGCAAAATGTTGTGATGACTGTGTTGCCTGAGGTGTTAGGTTGGCCATGGTTTTGAATCACCCCTGCCCCAGCCATGGCCATTTGGATCACAACACACTGAGAAGCCACACAGGCAGCCATCCTTTCCTGGTTTCTTGAGGATTAAGGCTTGAGAGCTCTGTGACCTCCCTACTAAGAAGCTTAGGGCATGAGGGAGGAGGGAGGGGTGTGAAGGCCCCCCCAGAGCTCAGGAGAGGGGGCTGGTGAGGATGGTAGAGTGGGACACTATCCATGACCCAGCTTTAAGCCCAAGTCCAGGTTGTGGAATCCTTGCCACTGCCTGAGAGAGTCCTGAGAAAGATAATGGGGGCAACAGGTGAGAGACCAGCCTCTGATGAGGCTACTGGAGAGATGGAGGGGCAGAAAGGTGGGGCAAAGCAGCATGGGGTGGGATGCCAGCAACCATCAGGGTCTAGGCCTTTCCCAAGCCCTCCAGCTTCTCCACCAAATGAGGCCCACATACCTCCACAGGATGAATACTTCCCAAACCAACTTGATGCTCTATTCCCAGACTCAAGAATCTAAAATGTTTCCCTATTTCCTATTTCCTCTGACTGACTTTCCAGACCATCTCAGTCTAGCCCCAGCTGTCCATCCCCTCAGTCATGAGTACGGGATGGGCATGGAGCCACTTTGGATAGTCACCATGAAGAAATGTAATGGGATTTACCTGTGGTATGGCTGTCTGAAGAGAAGTATGGTATCCAGAACAGGGGGTGCTGGTTCTGATACTTGAATTGATAAGATCAAATGCCCACTTCACAAATGAGGCTTTTCAGGTTCCAAAGGTCTAAGTTACCTCCCCACAGTCACACAAAAATTAAATGGCAAAGCCTGGATTAGACCTTAAGTGTGCAGGACTCTGAAGTCCTAGCTCTGAGCCCCTCCCCTCCTCATCTCCCCTTCTCCAAATCCTGCCCAGCCACAAGGCCTAGCTCAAAGCCTCCCTCCTCCAGAAAGTCCCCCCTGCCTGCTTCAGTCTGCCCTGACCTCTCCCAGTTTTGTACAGTTCTATGTACACCTGTGTATGTGTGTGTGTGCGCACGCATGTTTCTGTTCCCCTATAAGGTCCAAGGGAGCTCTGGTAGCATAGTGGCTAAGACACTTGCCTGCTAACCAGATGGTTGGCAGTTCAAACCTACCAGCCACTCCTCGGAAGGAAGGTTGGGCAATCCTACTTCCGTAGTGATATTGCCTCGGAAACCCAAGGAGGGGTCGCTATGAGTCGGGGCCGACTCGACGGCACATAACAACAACAACAACAACATAAGGTCCAAAGCTCCCTGAGGGTCAGAGAGCAGTTCCAGCTCACAGACCTTCCTGCAGGTCCTCCCAGAAAAGCCAGACCTGGAGACGGCAGGTCTACCTTCCCACATATCAATGACATCCCTCTACCTGCCAAGGCCCAGAACAGACAGGAGGCCCAGGCCATGGAGGCAAGTGTACCAGAGGATGGAGAAGGGAGAAGGTGGAAGGCGTGCCCCACCAGAGAGATATACATGTTCCATGATGTATAGCAGTGAGAAAACGCATCACTTCCCATACTGTGCCATAAATATCATATTTATAACATCAATTAAATGGCAGTGACTTAAATCATTTATAATAGAGATACAGCCACTCAATGAACCATTAGCAGAGTCAGCGTATTCACATTCCTTGCAGGCCTGCACACAGAGCGATGGCTCAGCTGGACTGGGGCTTCCAGGTTCATGGGCAGGAGGAGAGACAGGACGGAGCAGAAAAGCTCCCACCCAGGGTGCAGCTCGGGGCAGTCCAAGGGAGGGAGCACTTGTCCTCAGGGCTCTCCAGGCAGGTGCCTGGGAGGGTGCCTCTTATTTTCCACATCATCCTTACTGCCGGGGTTGCTACTTCTGGGGGCTGTAGGAATGCTTGCTGGTACTGGTCCCACCTCTCCACAGTCAACACTTACCACAGTCCATGCCTTTGTGCGATGAGGAATCAGGCAGGGACAAGAGTGTATGATGGCGGCTGCAGTGTGAGGACATATGGGGCTGTGGGAGTGCCTGCAGGGGCCCCTCCCTCCGACTGGCCACATACCCAAGTGAGGTCATGCTAGATTCTTCTCCAGCCCGCACCTCCCACATCCACCACACCAGGCTTGGCAGTGGGAACTCCTCAGCACCCTCCATCTGCCCATTTTGCTCCATCCCCACCTTCCGCCTCCTTTCCATTTCCCTGCCCCCACCTGTGCTGCTACCTGTGTCCCTAGCAGTCCACTCTCCACACTGCGGCCCATGTACTAAGCTCTGCACAGGCTTCCCACCTCACTCACGTTAAGTCTAAGGTCTCTAGGAGGAAGCCCAGTCCCCTGCTGCCTCCACGACTTCCCCTCATACCACTCTCCCCCTCAGTGCCTTGTTCCAGCCTCCTGGCCTCCTGGCTGTTCCTCAGACACCTCTGCCCACCTGGGTTGTTCCCTCTGGCAGGCAAACCTCCCACCAATGCCCCTTCTGCTCACCACGTCTCAGCTCACATGTCCCCCCGTGACCCAGTCCTGTCCTTACTGTCCAACCTAATGTAGCCCCCAGCTTGTCCTTCTGCCCCTTGTTTTATTTTATTCATGGCACATACCACTACACCTTCATCTTGTCTTAGTCATTTATTTATCTTCTCTCTCCCCACTGGAAAGTGAGCTCCATGTGAGCAGGGACTCTATTCGTTCCTCTGTATCTAGGCCCCTTGTACAGTGCCTGGCCCAGAGCAGCAGCTCAGGAAATGAATAACTCAATGCCCAGGACAGGAATAGGGAGCCAGACAGGGGTGGTGCTATGAGAAAGTGTTGGGCTGTAGGATCCAACAAAGCAAACAATCAATTAATGTCTGTCTATCACCCTGTGGCAAAGAGTTCTCATGGTACAGTATATAAGGCATTTGGCTACTAGCCAGAAGGTTAGTGGTTCAAATCCACCAGCTGCTCCATGGAATAAAGATTTCTAGCCTTGGGAACCCAAAGGTGGTCATTATGAATTGGAATTGGCTCCATGGCAATGGGTTTACTTTTTGGTTTTAATACAACTCTGAAGGTGCTCTGGTGGCCCAATGGGTGAGCCATTTGACTGTAACGAGTTTGGCTTTGGTTTGGTTATCACCCCATGGCAGGGGTTACATCTCCCAGTCCCTAGACCACAGGCATGGGTCAGAGGAGAAGGAGGTAGACCACCCAGTGCAAGATGCCTCAAACAACACTGGCAGAGCCCTCTTTGAGGCTCAGGTCTTTCTGGTGGGCCAGGGAAGCTGGGGAGCTTGCAGTGGATCCAAAAACCAGGTGGTGAAGAGACAGCCTGACCGAGCCCAGAAGCTGGGGGGATGTAGGGCCTCAGGAGACACTGTTTCCAGGCAAGGGGAGATTTGGGGTTGGGGGCACACAGGCCTGGGCCTGGAACCTAGGAGAGGGAGAGGCAAAAGCAATGGATCACAGGGCTAGGAACGTGACTCACTCAGTCTGGCCAGCTTCCAGAAAACTGTGCAATCAACCAGAGAAACACATTTGAGAAAACAGAATCGTGAGAGTAACTTTGAAGCCTCGGTTGCCATGGGAACATATCTGTAAATACTTAACTGCAAACATTAAGTGACACATGGGGAGCGAGGGAGCGAGCAGGGAGGCAGCAGCACTCCCGCCACGGAGACGCCAAGTCCACCCTCGCCTTCAATCACCAGCCCAGGTTTCCTCCACTCCATTCTGCCTGCCATGCAGCTCTCCCTCCTCATTCCTCATTCCCAGGGGCTCTTCCTGGAGCCCCATCTTTTCACTTCTCCCTCCCTATTCCCCATCCCCCAGACCTGGGGTGGGGGTAGGAAAAGAGAGCTGTTTCTTCCTGGACATTCTGGAGGTTTCAAGGAGACCCCAAGCCTCTCTCCCTCTTGGCCCCAGATCTTCTGCCTCTTCCCTGGTGCCCACACCAGGTCCCTGGGACCCTCATTCCATAGCCATCCCAGCCCAGAAGTATAAGTCCCTGGCTACTCCCTTTCCCAACCACTCCCATACTCCTCATTTCTAAGGGATGGGGGCCAGTAAGACAAAACATAAGTCAAAAAACCCTTTGCAACAAGTGAGTTCAAGAGACCCAGATGTCTTGCCTTAAGGAAATCCTGGCCTAGCTCTGGGATTCAGAATCCTCTTCCCCCTCTCCGCTGTGCCTCCTACTGCCTGCCCGGGTTAAGGTGGTCTCCCTCAGCCTGTTTGCCCAGGGCTTCAGCCAGGCTGGCCTCCCTGTGGTGGGGAGAAAGAAGGAGTTCACCCCGGGATCCCTCTCTGCCTGGCCTGGCAACTCCCCCCTCCCCCCAGCCACTGATACACAATCCTGTTTGTCTGGTCCTGCCCAGAGGAAGCTTTTCATCCATCCATTCCACTGCTGCAGAAGATGTTGGTGAGCACAGACAAATGTCAGCCAGACCCTTCCATAGCTGCTGGGAGATACGTGCCCTCCTGGAACTTCCAAGTTAGGGGAGGGACAGACAGTAAGCAGGAACCGAAGTTCAAGGATCAGGACAGGGTCTCTAGTGGCGAGAGGAGAAGAGGAGAAAGAATGGGGGAACAGCACCACAGTATAAGAGGTGTGCATATGGGTGGTGGTGGGGATCCTCTAGGACCTTGTAGACTTTGGATTTTATTCCAAGTGAAACAGCCACTGGAGGTGGCTTGATCTGTCCTGCTCTGGTTCCTGAGTGGCAGCAGACTTCAGAGGGCAAGGTGGAAGCAGGGGACAATTAGGAGGTGGAGGCTGTTGTAACAAGGAAAATGACTATTTTTCCCTGCAAGGGCGAGCATTTGCATATCTTTGGGCCATTTTGTGCACACACTCAAGAGGCTCCTGGACCCCAAGGCCCAGCTATAGTCCCCAAGAGTCCTGTGACCCCTGGGTTCAGATGTTATCCTTCCAGACAGCTCACCTCCTCCAGCAGATGCTGCTAATCTGCAGCCTATTTGTGGGGCTGAGAGGAGCAGACCCCTTGAGACCAATGCTGACTAAGCTCCCCCCCCAGCGCCTGCAAGAGGACACCAGTCAACATGGAGTCATCACTGCTGGTGACAGTGGGCTCTGCCTCCTGCTTCCCAAACACCCAGCCAGCTCTGCTGAGTGCTACAGAAGGCAAGCTGATGTGCCAGTGGCCCAGAGGGAACGGAGTGAGGACTTTTGGGCCCTTGGAACTGGAAAGGAGGAAAAAGTTCTCTTGATGATGTGGGTGGAGGGAGATGGCTCTGAGAAGGATGCAGAAGAAATTAAGCCCCTGTGGGCACTAAGAGGCAGCTGGAGGCCCACCCAATGCTGGGGAGAGTGTTTTTCAGCTCCCAGGAGTGGGGAGTAGGAACTTGTGCACCTTTGAAATTTCCTTTCGCATGGTTTCCCCTAAGCAACAGGAAATGCCCCTTAAACATTGTCTTATGCTGTGAAGTCGACTCATAGTGACCCTATCAGACAAAGTAGAACTGCCCCATAGGGTTCTGTAGCCTGTAATCTTTACAGAAGGAGTTCTAGTAGTGCAGTGGTTAACACATGCAGTTGCTAACCCAAAGTTTGGTGGTCCAAACTCACTAGCCACTCCATGGGAGAAAGGTGAGGCTGTCTGTTTCTGTAAACATTTACAGCGTTGGAAACCTCATGAGGCAGTTCTACTCTGTTCTGTAGGGTTGCTATGAGTTGAAATTGACTTGATAGCAGTGAGTTTGGTTTTTAGTGTTTTTAATCTTTTTGGAAGCAGATCACCACATATTTCTCCTGAGAAGCAGCTGATGGGTTCAAACTGTCCCAAGTTGAGCACTTAACCACAGCACCGCTAGGGCTCCTTCTGTAAATATTAGGATGGGCTATTATTAGGTCCATGTGACTGGGCGAGATCAGGAAGAGTTCTCAGAAACTACACCAAGCAGGGAAAGTATACCGTCCCTAATTTTGGGAACCAAGTCTGTGGAGGTCAGAGATCAAGCAGAACCTGCCCAGGCCATGCCCAGAGTTCTGAGTCCTCTCCCTAGCTGGGATTGCTGCATCTGCAGCCTGGGAACCCAGCAGGCTCTGCAAGTGGCCTCATCTGCCTCTGCATCCCTGTGTGCACAGGCGCAAGTGAGAAGGGCAGGAAGCAGACGCAGAAGGAATCCAGATAGCACACACACAGTGGTACTCCCCACTCGTCCCCACACCAGGGCTGAGGTGCCACAGCCTGCTCCTCAGCCACCCTGGATTGAGAGGGTGCAGCCTTCTAGACCCCCTGGTGATGAACAGAACCAGGCTGTGGCCACCAGTGGGCTGCAGACACTGGGCTTCTGCTCCCCCCACATCCACTCATGCCACTAGTCACTCAAGCCCTTAACAGCCTAGCACTGTATGCCCTGCAGGAGGACCTTGTGGTCTCATTGTCACCAGACTGACAACCACTCTCTGCACAGAGCACACCGGTCATTTCACAGCAGAGTCTGTCCTCAACTTCCCTTCCTGTCTGTCTCACCTGTCCAGGGTGAACAGGGTCACGGCATCACCATCTACCTGGCTTTTCACAGCCTGCTGCTTCCTCTTACACTCTGTCTCACACACACCGATCACACAATCAGGTGTACCCACAGAAACAGGGCATTTCTTTCCCCTCGGAAACCCAAGGAGGGGTCACTATGAGTCGGGGCCTACTCGATGGCAAATAACAACAACAACAAGGAACTCTGGTGGTGCAGTGCCTAAGGCATTTGACTGCTAACCAGAGATTGGTGGTTCAAACCCACCAGCCACTCCACAGAAGGAAGACTGGACAATTTACTGCCATAAAGATTTACTACCTCAGAAACACAAAGAGTGTTGCTATGAGTTGGAATTGACTCAGTGGCAGTGGGTTTGGTTTGATTTGTACAGACAGCATGCAGAGCTGTGCTACTTATCACAATGCAGACTCTTTCCTGGGACAGAACAGGACATTTTTGTGTGTGCGTCACACATCTGTGCTTGTAGACACGTGCGTCAGCCACACTGTCTCTCACGTGGGCTTGTGTGTAGCATGCCCGAGTGTGACTGTACATCTACACTCACAGAGGTCATTCTAAAATGTGTGGCCGCACAGTGGGCGGCTTTGAGGATGTTGAGATGTTGACTGGAAAAGGACATGGGATGCCTTCTGGGGTGATAAGAACATTTTAATCTTGATAAGGGTGTGGGATATGTGGATGTGTACATTTCTCAAGACATTACTCAGTTTAAATTTGTGCATTTCACTGTCTATATTACCTTGAAAATTTTAGATTTAATAAGGAAGGTGTGTCCCAGATGGAACTAGCAGGGGTCAGTTGCCTGAGAGGACTCCCATCCCCCACAAGCAGAGGCGATAGTGTCGCACCCCCATCCAGGGCTCTGAGCAGCTGCAGGCAGGAGGAACGTGATCTGATAAACAAATCCTTGTGGAAGTGTTAAAGGTTGACTAGGCTGATAAAGTGAGGTTGTATTTTAAAAGACAATTTTGAAGACAGCAATGCTTACTTCAAAATGCTGGTGCTCTAATGGCCCCTCAGGCACCTGGGTAGGGGGTCTGCCCACATATTATACCTCAGAGATGATTTACTCCTTGAACATAATGGCAAACAAACATAATGGCAAAACATAATGGCAAAACAAGTGAGAAGGCACCTCTGGCTGCCTCTTTCCTGGCCTCCTAGCCCTTTGAATTCCCCTGGGGCAGAGATCTGGGAAGGACTGAGCCAACATCCAGGAGAGCCCCTAGGGATTGATGCCTTTATGGCACCCACTCCTGGGAGAAGCTAAGGCACAACACAAGGAAATGTCCCCTCCTTGCTTTCAAACCAGAGCCCCAGAGGTGGAAAGATGAATGCTTTTCATCCCCTTGGCCCAGAAAGATGGGTCCTGACAGGACTGGGGTGGTGCCTTTAGGACTTGCTTTTAGATGTCTTTCTGCCTGGGAACAACCAATTGCATCTGCTTAGAAAGTAAACTGACAACGAGAAAACAGACAAGTTTACTTTCTGCATTTCTTCTATCTTCTCCAGCAAAGAGATTGGTCTACAGGATGGAAAATGCAGATAAGCTTTGCGCAAAGGAACAACCCTTCAAGCAAGGCAAGGAGATCCAGTCTAGCCCCAGACATTAGCTTGCATCTCTAGGCCAGAGTAAAACCAGGAATCATGAAGGTAGGGGGACCAAAAAAAGAAAGAAAAAAGAGAAACAGGCAGATGGACTCTTGGAGCTGCTGGGGTCATCTTTGAGGCATCATGGAGCCCAGAAAAAGACAGGGTCCAATTTTTAAGGGGTGAAGAAGGTAGATTTCAACAATTAGCAGCCTAGTAATCCTGAAGACAATCTTCGGCAAACTTCTAGAATAAATTTGTCAAACTGGTGGCTTGAAAGCACTTGGGAGAAAGTGACAGTGGCTTAGGACTTCCTGAGTGAGATGGACCCAGGAAGCTGGTTGCCTGTTCTGGTGAGTGGTTATCTTATGCACGCATAGGCATCATATCACCAAATGGGGACAGATAGAGAAGTTTCCCAGGGCTTAGGGCTTAGGGCTTAGGGCTAACTTAGGGCTGGGTGGGCTCAGAGGGACATCCCTGGTGGCAGCCATGGCCTTTGTCTTTGGTACTTTTCTGTTCAATATTTTTATCAAGGCCTTGGGGTAGAGGGTAGTGACAGAAGCTGATTTTTAAATTGGCTGATGACCCACAGCTAGTCTGGAGGATCAACTCCTGGATAACACATCCAGAATCTAAGGACATCTCTCCAATGAGGTTCTTGAGCCCCTGTCTCTGCCTTCCACCCCACCCTGCCACAGCCAACCAAGCAAAAACCAAACCCACTGCCATCAAGTCCATTCCAACTCACAGCAACCCTGTAGGACAGAGTAGAACTGCTCCATAGGGTTTCCAAGGCTGTGATCTTTACAAAAAGCAGGCTGTCTCTCTTTTCTCTCCTGAAGTGGCTGGTGAGTTCAAGTTACTGACCTTTTGGTTAGCACTCCAATGCTTTAACCACAGTGCCACCAGAGCTCCTTTCCCACCATAGCAATAATGCAGATATCACAACAGCTTCCCTTCTGAAACCCAGAAAGTACTAAAATATTTCTGGAAACTTTGTCCAATTGTGTATTGGGGAGCTTTTTGTCAGTTGGTTGGTAGGATGGGTGGTTTCTGTGATCCCTCCCTCCATGAACCCTCCATGTTTAGCATGGTAATGAGACTAGAATTGCTTAGGGTTTTGGGCCACTCTAAGAATCTAATATAATGTAACATAATGAAATGTAGTCTTCTTCCAGGAGAAACACCCATAGATATGAAATGGTGCTGTTTAAGGGAGTCCAGAGTCATTCTCTACCCCACTGGAGAACCTCCTAGGGAAACAGTCCCTTCCAGTAACCAGTCCCTGCTTGGAAGTCTTCAGTTCAAAACCCCTAACAGTCATTGGCCACTTAGCATAACTCAGTCTATTCCATCCTTCCTGGAGGCAGTGAGCATACAAGCCCTTGGTGTCTAAAGGAAACTGGGCCAGGGAGGCATTCAGGGTCCTCCCTTCACCCCCACCACATTTCCTGGGGGACCTATAGGTCCTGAATGGGCACCCAAGCCACTGCCACCACACAGCACCTGGGTTTAGCCAATGAGAGGGTTGCAGGCCACTTGAAAAGAAGTTAGAAATCCCAGCACATCCATCTTCATAAGTTTTATTACAGACTGCCAGTTTAGACTAATGACTAATTTATTGTCTAAAATACCAGTGGTATATGTTTTTTATTTTGTTAATTAATTATCGCAAACAAAGGTGAAATTTATAAAAGTATCCAGAAATGGTGTACATTGTAAAATTGCCTTACAGTAGGAGATGAAATGATTACTAACACAGGATCAAATTATTACTGTATTGACTTAGTTACTTTATGATTTTGTAATAGATTTCTTCATTATTTTCTCAGGACTGTGGCATTCATGATTGCATTAAAGTCTGTTAATCTGTGTAAATATCATTAAGCACCACTAATAACCATGGCAACTTTCCTCCATTTCAAGAAATGTGCTAAGTACTTGTAGCCTTGACTTGTGTGGGTCCCTTCTGGGCAGCAGGGATGAAATCCAGGTGGCAGGAAGTACTGTGGGGCCCCTCTATAAGCATGGTCCTGCCAAGAAAGAATGGGCCTCTGGAATGCTTCCTTTGCCCAACCCATCTCCACCTCACATCTTCCTCATTTGTCAGAGGGCCTCAAATGTCACCATCAATAGCCATTCCTTTTGAATAAGGTTATGCAAATGTGCCTCACCTAGAAAGAAAAACTCATCAACTCATTGTCCACCATTTATGCTCGAGAAGCAACAAGGGATTCAAGAGTCTTGCTGCACTGGTACAAGGGAATAGTTTGTATGAAATTTAGAAATAAGGAAGATCTAATTATGGGGTGCTGAGTGAAAACCCAGTTTCTGTCAAGTCAATTCCAAGTCATCGCAACCCCAGATATTTCAGAATGGAACTGTGCTCCATAGGGTTTTCAATGGCTAATTTTTCAGAAGTGGGTCTGCAGCCTTTCTTCTGAGGTGCATCTGGGCGGACTCTAACCTCCAGTCTTTCAGTTAGCAGCCGAGTGTGTTAACTGTTTGCACCAACCAAGGATGCTCCTCAGACTAAACCTGCTCTGTAAAGTGTGGATTGCTATTATTATTTGACCAAACACAATTTATTGAGCATCTGCTATATGACAAACACTGCACTAGGCACTCCCAGCAGTGAAAAGACAGAAAGCTCCCATCCTGACATCAAGAGAAGTGCTTCCTCATGGTTATTAAAACTGTTGTGGGGCTCAATCTCTGTCTTGGTTATTACTATCTTAACCTTCTCAATGGATGAGCTTGAGGATTGGCCTGGGGAAGGGCAGATACCAGGCCCAGGTTGCACACTTTGTGAAGGCTCTGACTATAGGTCCCAGTGTCTCCCACACAACCTTCCCCTATGGATGAGTGGAATGGGAGCAGGTCTGGGACTCACGGCAGCACTTTCTCCTTCCTGAGTTTACACACTGCCCTCCTTGGATCCACATCCTGAGACTTTTCAAGGTTAAAGAGCCCTTTTTAACATCAAAAATTCATCAGCACCCCCCTTGACAGATGTTTTACTTTGAGAATCCATTGTTTGAGAGACTGCAAGATGGCAAAAAAGCTACCTTGAATTCAGCAGTGGTTTTAAATGGATTCATATTTTTAAAAATCACAACAGCATCTACACACATTTGAAAAATAGTCACATACACCTATGAGTGAAGTGTTTCTGGTGCAGTCAGCAGAGAAGGCTGGATGTCCTGGGACTCCCAGTCACAGGACACCACTGCCCTGGACCCTCCATCAGCTGTGCACTAAGAGGAGGAAGGGCAGGGAACATGAGGCTGTTAGGGAAACCCCTGGACCCACTAAGGGGGAACCTGGACTGACAGCTATTTGTCATTACCTCTTATCCTCAACTGCTCATATGCAAGTTCAACTTGAAGTTAAAGACAATTAAAACAATTGCTTGAGAGTGAAATATGATCTAGAATATATCCCTCCTGAATTTAGAGACCATCTAAAGAATATATTTGATGCATTGAACACCAATGACTGGAAACCAGATGAATTGTGGATGACATCAAGAGCATCATCCACGAAGAAAGCAAGAGGTCACTAAAAACACAACAAAAGAAGAGAAGACCAAAATGGATGATAGAAGAGACTCTGAAACTTGCCCTTGAGCAGAGAGTAGCTAAAACAAATGGAAGAAATGACAAGATAAAAGAATTGAACTGAAGATTTCAAAGAGCAGCTCGAGAAGACAAAGCCAATTACTATAATGAAATGTGCAAGGACCTGGAGTTAGAAAACCAAAAGGGAAGAACACGCTCTGCATTTCTCAAGCTGAAAGAATTGAAGAAAAAATTTAAGCCTCAAGTTGCAATACTGAAAGATTCTAAGGACAAAATATTGAATGATGCAGGGAACATCAAAAGAAGATGGAAGGAATACACAGAGTCACTGTACCAAAAAGAACTGGTGCATGTGAGAGCTGGACAATGAATAAGGAAGACCAAAGAAGAGTTGATGCTTTTGAGTTGTGGTGCTGGTGAAGAATGCTGAAGGTACCATGGACTGTCAAAAGAACTAACAGATCTGTCCTGGAGGAAGTGCAGCTGAGATGCTCCTTGGAAGCGAGGATGGCCAGACTTCGTCTCACCTACTTTGGTCATGTTGTCAGAGGGGACCATTCCCTGGAGAAGGATGTCATGCTTGGTAAGGTGGAGGGTCGATGAAGGAGGGGAAGGCCTTCGACGAGATGGATTGACATGGTGGCTGTGACGATGAGCTCAAGTATAGCAAGGATCGTAGAGCTGGCGTGGGATCAGGCGGTGTTTCGTTCTGCTGTGCATGAGGTCGCTATGAGGCAGAAACGACTCAACGGGACCTAACAACAACAACTTCTCCTCCTGGTCCTCTCAGCCTCTGCAGCCTCCTCTTCCTCACTCTAGCATGGTGGGTGGAGGTAGAGCTCGGTGCTGGGGCTGCTGCAGTCCCAGGCCCCCTACTGCCCATACATACCTGGCCCCACTTATTACAGACCCTGCCCATCTCCCTCTAGCCTCACCCAGCACCATCACAGCCCATCACCCTGACCCCACACTGGGCTTCCCTACCCCCTCAGCCTCCTCCTTGGCCTCTAAATTTTCTCAGCCCTGTCTCCTTATCCTGCCTTCTCCACCTCACTGGCCCAAATACTCATCTGGTCCCTTTGATCATAAAAGGGAGCCCTGCTGGCACAAAGGTTAAAGTGGTCAGCTGCTAATGGAAAGGTCGGTGGTTTAAACCCACCAGCCACTCCATGAGGGAAAGATGTGACAGTCTGCTTTTGTAAAGATTACAGACTTGGAAACCCCACAGGGCAGTTCTACTCTGTCCTATAGGGTCGTTATGAGTTGGAATCAACACAATGGGATAGCAGTGGGTTTGGTTTTGGTTTTTGATCATAAAATGTGTTTTCTGGCAAAACCAGTCATGCTGTGGTGACAATAGCCCTGCATTACAAAGGCTTCCCTGAAGAGGGTGATGCTCATTCCAAAAGAACAGGACCCAAAAGATGGAGTCCCAGGCCCTGGGACAGGTGCCTGTGAGTAATATTCTAGTTACTGAGAAAGAAGGTACAGTGCAGCTGATAGAAATACCTAGTTCCAATCTTGCCTGTACCACTTACTGCCCGGGTGACTTGTGCCTATCACTTAGCCTCTGTTAACTGAACTGTAAATGGGGACGTGATCATGTTTGGTGGAAGCATGGTTGTGAGAAGTGGACAGAGTGTGTGGAAATGCCCTGCTGGCACCAAGCTGTCAGGACATCGGAGGGGCAGCTAGCACCATCCCTGTACAAGAGCCTGGCTGTGCCAGAGTAAGAACTCTGTCGAGGGCTGCCGGACTGGGGTCTTCATCCTCCTCCTTCACTCCCAGGCAGAGCAGCCCCATGGCACTTGTCACCCTCAGCCACTCCCCTCGAGAACTATTGAAGGAAACGTTATGTCTTATTTTTCAAAACACAATTCTCCAGCCCCTACAAATAGGCACTTAAGCTGAAGGAAGTCCTTTGTATTCTGTCCTCTGAGTGCCTATCCCTGGGTTTCCATCTTTATTTCCACTCCCTAACCCCTCCCAGCACCAGCTCTTCCCAGAGATGGGAGGTGAGGTGGCCTGCTTTCAGTGCCCTGTGGCCTCAGCATATCCAGGCACATGACCACGGGGATGTTCCACTCCGAGTCCACAATGTGCTTCTCCCTCTGACAGGCCCCCATTCCCTCTCACACTCAGGAGCCCCCTAGCTCCATCCTGCTCTCCTCATCCATATTTGCAACATGCAGGCCTAGTGGGGCACCTGATACCCTAATTTTGAAGCAGTTTTACTCAAGGATCAAATCTACTTCTTGTACTTTAAAACACAGTACTTTGCACAGGTTTGTTGACTAACTGAGGAATAATAGAAGGGCCATGTCCATCCAGGGCTGACATACAGGTTTCTGAGATTTGGCAGAGCCCCTGTCTGCTGCTCTGTACACTGAACTACCTGGTAACCAAATATTGCCAACCCAAAGGTCTCGGAAGTCCCCTTGAATAACAAGAGCAGA